AAAGCCTTCTCATAGTCAATGAAGTTGACGATCAGCAGGGAGTTCCTCTCCAGGGACTGTTCCACAATAATCCTCAGCGTGGCAATCTGATCGATGGTTGAGCGATTTTTCCGGAAACCTGCCTGTTCATCCCGTAGTCTTGGATCCGTTCCTGTCTTGATTCTCTCCAGAATGATTCTGTTGAAGACCTTACCTGGTACATTTGTGTTATATTGAGAGAAGAGTGATCCCTCTGTAGTTGCTGCAGTCAATCCTTTGGGAACTTGCTCTCATTCCAGATCCCGGTAAACAGTGGGAGGAGGTCTGCCGTCACACTGGCATCTGCTTTTAGGGCTTCAGGTGGAATCTGATCAGAACCGGCCGCTTTACCTTTGTTCAGCTTCTTAACGGCATCCAGAATCTCTTGTTTTGAGGGAGCATCACAGCAGATTAGTAACTCATTTCTTGCTGGCAGTATGTCTGGAGGGTTACTGGGTGGTGGTCTGTTCAGTAGACTGTTGAAATGCTCTACCCATCGTTTCGACTGAGCTTCCTTTCCAAAAATGATTTTCCCCTCATGGTCCTTTACTGGTACTTCAGGTTTCCCATATTTTCTTGCAAGTGTCCTTGTGGTCTGGTAAAGGATTCGCATGTGCCCTCCTACCGCTGCTTCCTCTGCCTTCTCTGCTAGCCTGTTCATGAATTCCTCCTTGTCTTTTCTTATTGATTTCTTGACATCTTTAGCTGTTGTCCTGTACTGCTCCAATGCATCGCCCTTGATCCTCTTGTTCTACTTGCATTCGCTTCTGCCTTCAGTTGTCTTCTTGTCCTAATTAAATCCAATGAGTGTTGGATAATCCATTCCTTGTGCTCCCATTTCTTCCCACCGAGTACTTCTTGACATGTTGATGTAAAGACTTCTTTGACTTTGGTCCAGTGTGTATCCACCTCCATGTCCTCTTCGCCAAGATCAGCCAGAGGTTGAAATCTGTTCCTCAGCTACAGCTGAAACGTTTCTTTATTGTGTCCCGTCCAAGAGACTTACTTGGAACTTCGTTCTTTTGACTCCTGTGCTGGTTCCGTGCTTTTTGAGTCGAAGCTTGAGTTTTGCCAAAAGCAGATGATGATCCGATCCAACGTCTGCCCCTCTCTGTACTTTGACATCTTCCAGTGAACGCCTAAACTCACGAGAGATACAAAAATGATCTATCTGGTTCTCCGTCACTCCATCTGGCGAAACCCATGTGGCCTTGTGGATCCTCTTGTGGGGAAAGTGTTGAGACTTAGACTTAGAGCCTAGAAAACTCTACAAAACGACCCTAGCTTTCAAGAACTACTTGTATGGGATTCTCCCAGGGCATGGAATGTGAAACGTGAATCATCACAGTGAACTTAACACTGACATTGAAAGGAGGATACAGGCACGGGAGATGGATGAGCTGTTTCCACACTCTACGGGGTTCTTTTTTGTGTGTGTTTTTGGTTGGTAAGAGTTTTACGGCGCTCTCAACTGTATATTACAAGGTCATATTTTATATGAGCGCATGCTTGGTACTTTGGAGGGCGGGGGAGGGGGGATAGAGAAGGTGGGGGAGAGAGAGAGAGAGAGAGAGAGAGAGAGGAAGAGAGAGAGACAGTCTCAGACGGAGAGAGATAGAGATGGTGGGAGAGAGACAGAGACGGAGAGGGGCAGAGAGAGAGAGAGAGAGAGAGAGAGA